TCCAAATATTAAAATATTAGTTCTTACTTTAAACTTTTTATTGCAAATAAAACATGTGTTTATGCAGTTTGCAAATCATTGCATTTTGCTTTAGATTTTACTCAACGTCCCGCCTGTTTTTGGAATCGGGGTTGGAAAATTTAAACGACTAAATATTTATTTGAAAGTTTGAAATATTTTGTTGGCCAAAAGAAAATGCATTTGTAAACCAGACCATCTTGAAAAATGTTTAAATGTTCATTATTTTTAAGTACATATTTACTAAATTGGTAATACTCAAAGAAACAATATTATAAAGAAATGTTGACAAACTCAAATTTCTAACATTAATTTAATCTAAAAACATCCATAATTACATTTTAGATCTACAGCAAAGTGTAAAATAATGAGAATATAACAAAGGGATCTTTTAGTATTTAAACAAATCAGAAAACTAAATCAACATATATACATATATGACATAATAATAATTATTATAATATGACATTTATTGTTTAAGCGCAACTTTACTTTGTCATGGCAACCATGAGAATTTTCTTGCTGAACAATTAATTACGACGTACTCTGTTCTGTTCTACATAATGAAAACATGATCAAATTGATTTTCTGTCTATTAAAACGTGAAATTATTTTATTTGGTGCATCTGTTCACAGCTCTTACTCTTCAAGAACATTATAGTTTCATGCTTTCACAGGATGTACGTTTTATTCGTCTTTATATTTCTACTGAACCACTGTTTTACGAGAGTTTTTCATGCTTTTTCCATCACAAAAGTTTTCTTAACAAAACATTTTTAATTTCACACTGTGTTGCATTATTATGCTGTCTTGATTTTGGTCAAAAAACAAGTTTTATCCACCCTCATACATGTATGTTGCAACAAATTTGTGACTTAATGCTTATTTTGTTGGGTGAGCAGCAGCAGCCTTATGAACTGTCTGCTGCCCCCACCTGCTGGTGAGAAAGCAGCCATGTTTTGGTTACCCACCAAGCAGACCCTGATTGTTTGCCTCCAGTATCTGTGTCCTTGTGTGAGTGTTTTATACAAAGACACGCTCAGTCACTTCCACCCACTTGGTTTCTCTCTCCAACTCACAGTTCTCCTACACCTACAGTATCTCCTGCAGCCTGAGAATAAAGGGAGCAGAGCAGCAGAGGAGCACTGCACCAGGGGCCGCCGGCCCGATGAACTCCACATGCTGACAAGCACAAATAATCAGCTGCCCTTTCTGAAACCCGCATGTTCAGTAATAACAGCTCGCTGGTCGGTGTTGTTTATATCACACCGTTGCTCTCGGAAGCCGCAGGAGGGGAGAGTCTGTGACCCTAAAAGCTGTTGGGCCTGTGCTGTCTAATTCCACGTTTATGGTTTTGCCTTTTATAACACACACGACAGAGCTGTTCAGACCACAAGCACATGGAAACATCATCATGATGCTAATTGGTGCCTTTTAGGTACCATGCAGTGAGGATTCAGCAGTGTGCAGCAGATGATGCATCAACTTTAACACATAAGAAAGTTTGTAATGAAAAGAAAACAGATCAAAAGTAGAGGCCTAATTTTCTTTAATAAATGCATATTGCTTGCCATATTTTCAGGCCGAAATTTTAATCCAAGAGCATTTTATAATGAAGGAACAGAATTGAAGCTATTTTGGTCAAAGCTTGCAAAAAATGTTTTGTTCCGTCTCATGTAATGTTTCAAGATTGTGTGAAATGTATAACTGGCAAGTTGAAGTTCAAGTTGTGCTTATTTGTCATATGCAAGGTTAACACAAGTTAACACAAGTTAACACAAGGTTAACACAAGGTTAACACAAGGTTTACACAAGGTTAACACAAGGTGAATAGTACATTGAAATGTTCAGGATGAGAAGAATTGATTTGACTTGCTAAAAAAAAATCAAAGAACAAACAAACAAGAAATACTAAAGGATGCAATAAGGGTACACAAAAAAAAGTACCAAAAAGTGAAAAAGTAATTATAATATTTACAACGTCCTAAAGAGAGATAGTAAACAACAACATGGTAGACTATATCTGTGCAGCAGGATGGATTTGAATAAATCAGTATCAAGGTAGTAAGATAAGCTAAAATGCACATATATATATATATATATATATATATATATATATATATA